GGAAGTTTATACATTGATCTTTATACCGTCAAAAATGTATATCAGCATTCTCTCTCACTTTTCTCAAAAGCTACATTTTACTTTGGTAATCTAATCTCTTTTTTATACAGTTTTCCTTTATCTCTGAATGTGCTCCAGATATAACACAATAAAAGAAAAATACATCAATCTAGCATATATTTACCACAGTAAAAGCCTGGGAATGATGCAGGAATGACTCAGACCACTAACATAGTGTAGTCTTAAGCCCTTTCCACTGCGTATTAATTAAAAATATCATTCGAGAAGTGGAACTGTTTCCAGTGAAAAAATCTGGCACTGATGTTGCTTACATTTGCAGTAGCAGGGAACAGGAAGCTGGATGTCTGAAAATTTACAGGATAATGGTGGTGATGGATAGCAGAGACTCCATAAATAGAAATCCCACTGAATAGCCACCAAAGACCACTTTCATTAATCTTAAACAATATATAAATTAATCCAGGAGTCTGTTCTGCTAAAGAAGGGAGGAGACATTCTGACAGAGTATTTATGTGAAGAGCTAACCCAGGAAGACCCGTAATGTGTCCCGTTATCAGCAGTGTCATTTCAAATCAGCACACACATTTAGCATGATGATGTGGTGGAGGCTCTTAAAAGAGCAAAAATGTGTAACATTTTTTTAACAAGACTTTAGGAAATTCAATATCTTCATACAAGGTAACATCTTATCTAGCAAGAATTATTATAAAACCTAACCTGAACTACGCTTAAAACATTAAAATAAACCAATTCAAATGAGAACCTATTTACAGATCTCACCCTTTTTTCTTTCTTCTCATAAAAAACTTAAATCATGTTCTTTATTTTTTGCTGTGATATACAATATATACTTTTTCAACATTATTGAACAGATAGACAGAAAATGCACAAAACAATTACATTAAAATAACATCTAAAATAAGTACAAGAAACAATAGTATGGAAGCAGTTAAAATAAAAAGATTAATTAATTTAGATTTTGACACCACTGCACTATTTAGTTAAATGAGGTGTACAGCAAAAATGTATACATGACCAAAATGAAGTTAATTTTTCCTTGATTTGAGCAGTAAGGAGGAGAATTGCCAATGGAAAAAGGGGATTTATGTTTAAAATTAGAAATTACAAGTTCATTATCTTATTTCAAGTGCATAACATTTAACTGTCCTATTTTAAGAGGAAAACAGTCCTTCCATTGTCAGACCATCTTATCTACCCGCCAAAATTAAATACAATTATTTTACAGTTATCTTATGAGGTGTTTACTTATTTTTGAATAGGTTTTGCAGTGTGGAGAGCGTGTAAGGAAATGACATCTTCTTCTTTGCCTTTAGGTCTAAAATAGAATTTTAAAATTAGAATTAAAATACACAGGATTCTGGGTAACTGATGCAAATTTTGTTCACCCAGAAAGATTATAACAGCTTCATCTCTCTTTTTGTCATGATTTTATCTAAGGCTCGGGCCCACATGCAGTGAAGCCAAACAGAGAGACACAGATTAAAAGTTCAACGGGTTTTATTGAAGGAATATGAGCTCGGTGCAGAGTGGCTCCGAACTCTGCTCAGCCGGAACTGGAAGACGAGGGGAAGACAGACTGTTAGTTCAAGCTCAGTGGGAAATGCGACTAGTTGATCTCGAAGGAGTGGAACTGTTAGTTGACTCACGTTTCCAGAGAAGTGGAGAATCCTTGACTCCAATCTGTGTGTTGGTTAACCAGAGTTTGTTTGATTTGGCAGAGGGCGGAACAGGATTTACCCAGAACTCGGACGGTGAAGATTGATGCAGATGCTGGTTGCCACTCAGATTTCCTGTGGTACTTGAACGGGTCGTGGTGAAGATGATTTCCTTACTCAGAGAGTGATTTCAACAATCTCAAAGATGGCTGGATCCAAACCTCCTGCTTGAATCCGTCGCTCAATTTAAGGCTCAGTTGATTCCTCCTGGGAGGGGCGGTCCGGAAAGGTCCAGTTTGCTGCCGATAGGCAAAGACAAAAAACAAAGTTGAAGCTCAAAATCTAATCTCAAAACTCAGATTAGATTCAGCATAAACAAGGCTTGGCTAGAGTACCCCAAACTGGCAAACACTCTGACGTCGAGGTAGTGGCAACCAGCAGCTTAAGAGCAGTCCGGTGATGAGGTAACTGTCCGCAGGTGTTATTCTCCCTTCCACCTCCTGGTGGTGGAAGGGAGAATAACACAAAGACAAGACAGACAAACACAAAAACTGGAGTCCTGACACTTTTAAGCTTCTTTTCATGTTCTAATAATATTTTCTTTTCCTGTAATTCTTCCTTTTATATCTCAAAAGTTATCACTTACTGACTTTGAAATTCTTAAAAAAAAAAAAAAAAAAAAAATCAAAAAACCAAAAAAAAAAAATCTATTTTATTAATCCGATTGATTGATTTTTGATTGATTTTTGGAATAACCATCTAAATTTGTAGCCAAATTCTTAAACATGGCATTTGCTCAAAGAACAACCATAATAGTGCAGTAATTTAGTCCCAATTGGATAACAAATGTATACATTTTCCATGGAAAGAAAACTTTTCCTAAACACGATTTTCTGTCCAAATAGCAATGAATTAATTCTACCAAAAATAATAAATAAATAGAAGTTAAATTAATTGAGACCATACTCTATAATAAGTCCAACAAAACAGGCTGAGGTGGGTGTGGAAAATCTTTTGATGTTTTACTTTGACCCTAAAGGACTCATCTGTTCAGGTTCTAACGAAAAAGACTAATAAATAAGTAATAAGTAAATCAGTGTAGTAATTTAGTCACAGTTGGATAACAAATGTATATATTTTGCACTTAAGATGGAGAAAAAACTTCTATTACACAGGTTTTGCTGTCCAAATATCACTTAATAAATTCTTAAAAAAAAAAAAAAGTAGTCAAGTTAATTGATTAGAAAAGAATAAATGATTAGCTGCAGCCCTTACTCTATAAGTGCAATAAAACAGGCTGAGGTGGGTTTGGAAAATCCCTTGAAGTTAAACTTTGACCCTTAAGGATTCATCTGTTCAGGTTGTAAAGAAAAAGACTAATAAAAAGTAATGCCAGAAGCACAGAACTTTTGTGTATACAAGTTTCCCTTAATTTGAGCAGTAAGGAAGATGATTAACCAATGGAAAAGATGATTTATGTTTAAAAAAAGCAAGTACATTATCTAATTTCATGT